CCAAGATTATCTTCTGTGTCTGTGTTAATTGGTTTCCCTTTTCTTTGTTGAAGAGGGTCTGTGCAATCCTTCTGCCTAGTCCGCCATCTTGCCCCCGAGTCCTCTACATGCATTTCAAACACCACTCCCTACCCTGTGAGAACCACTAGGTAGGTTTGTGAAGGCAAGTGGTAAAATAGGTTAGGCTAGAAAGAGGGAGTGGTAGCCAGCCCATGAAGGACCTCGAATACCAGGACAAAACATTTGCACCTTATGATACTATGAAGCAAGCCGGGAGTGGCCACTAAAACCTTTTCAACAAGGAGCAGATGAGACCTGCTTTAGGATCATGTAGTGCGCAGTAGCATGCAGGATGAATGGAAGGCAAGGGGTGAGGAAAGGCAGGGACATCACCCAGGTTATTTTCAATCAGGGTGGACTGCACTGCCCACAATGACTGACGTATGGCAGAGGTCAAGGGGAGTTCCTAACTGCATATTCTAACTGCCGATTGAAGGTCCCTGGGTGGTACAAGTGGTCTGTGCTTGGCTGGTAACCTATAAGCTGCTGGTTCAAACCCACCCAGTGATACCGCAGAACATCCAGGCCTGGTGAGTGGCGTCTATAAAAATTACGGCCAACCTGACCCCATAGCATATGGAATCTCTCCAAAGGAACACAAGACAAACCAATGCCTCTATTGCTGATTGCCAGAATGTCCTATTGCTGTTGTTGCTGGATGCTTAGATTTATTTCAACTCATAGCAGCCCTGTGTGAGAGAGTAGAACTGTCTCATAGGGTTTTCTTGGCTGTCGTCTTTATGGAAGCAAATTGCCAGATCTTTCACCAGTGGAGCCACTGGGTTTCAAATCTCCAACCATTTGGTTAGCAACTTAGTGCTTAGCCATTGCACCACAAGGACTCCTGAATGTCCTATTAGAATACCAAAGTACAAATTCCACTGCCTTCGAGTCTGACTCATGGCAACCCCATGTGTTGGAGGAGATCTGCTCCATAGAGGTTGTAGTGATTGTAATCTTACATACGATTACAATCCCCAGGCCTTTTCTTCTGTGCTGCTGCTGTGTAGATTTGAACCACCTACCTTTTGGTTAGCAGCTGAGCACACACCAGGGACCTATTAGAATGAAAAACCATACCAAATCCATTGCCACTGAATCAATGCCAACTCAGAGACCCATAGGACAGAGAAGAATTGCCCCATAGGGTTTTCAATGCTGCAAATCTTAACCGAAGTAGACTGCCTCATTGTTCTCCCATGGGGTGGTTGGTGGGTTCAAATTGCAACCTTTTGGTTAGTAGCCCAATGCTTTAACCACTGGACCACCAGAGCTCCTACCTATTAGAATACAAAAAAAACAAAAAAAACAAAAAAAACCCCAAAACTCACTGCCATTGAGTTGGATCTGACTCATAGCGACCCCTCCTTGGGTTTCCAAGGCAGTATCACTATGGAAGCAGATTGCCCCACCTTCCTTCCGAGGAGTGGCTGGTGGATTTGAACCACTAGCCTTCTGGTTAGCAGTCAAATGCCTTAGGTACTCCGCCACCAGAGCTCCTACCTATTAGAATGTTGTTATGTTGTTGTTATATGCCGTCGAGTCAGCCCCGACTCATAGCGACCCCTCCTTGGGTTTCCGAGGCAGTATCACTACGGAAGTAGGATTGCCCAACCTTCCTTCCGAGGAGTGGCTGGTGGGTTTGAACCACCAGCCTTCTGGTTAGCAGTCAAGTGCCTTAGGCACTATGCTACCACATTTGCTAAATCAGGATTCCACTGTCTCTCCCAATCTTTCAAATAAACCTGCCTGGGTATTATCACAAGACTGCTCCTCCCCGTCAGTCCACACTGGCAGAACCCACTTAAAACTAACAAAAGGGAAATGGCAACCCTGTGAGGGTTGCTCCTCTCATCTCCTTGTTCAGCATCCATTGCCTTCTTAATAAGCAACCCCTTGGAGCTTGAACAAGGGGACTATTCAGTGTGAGCACAGGAGTGACAGAGGAAGACACTTCCTGCTCTGTCCCTTTCCTGGACAGGACATGGTTTTGATCCAAGGCCTAGAGACTCCCGGGCTGATAAAGGCCCATTGTGGCAGCTTCTGGAGAAACCCAGAGGCCATCAAGGGACTCCCCAGGCTAAGCAGCCAGTTAACAGGCCCCAAACATTTGTGAAAAGAATTACTTGGCGGAAGTCAACGCAGAGCAGGAGGCCCCAGGGCTGCCACTGGGATGTGCCCCTGCCACCAATGGCAGGGAGGTTAACAGCAAAACCAGCAGGAAACTGACCTGCCCTTAGAGGGCTGACCTGAAGTCAGAAGGAACCCAGGCTGGGAGGGGAGCTTTTCAGTTCAGGGCTCCCCTACCTACACCTGGAGCATGAAACCCAATCGCCCACCCGCCAAATGCAGGAAACACAACTGCTCTTTTAAAAAGGGCCTGGGGAGGAGAGAGGAGCCTCCTGCTCTGCCCCCCTCCCCCCCAAAGGGTGTCCAAAGCAATAAACGGCAGGAAAGGAGGAGAGCTGCAGCGTGGAAGCCTGTCTGGAACTTATTTGGGAATCAGGCTGTCTCTGCTTTGGTCTTTAGCGTGCTTTGAGTCCACGCACCTCATCATTTGCAGGCCTTTTCATCCAGCAGCATCGCGAGTGGGAAGAGGCATCCAAGGCCAGGAGAAATGCTGCTGCAGGAGGCAGCAGGGAGATGGGCAGATGCGAGGTGCAGGAGAGGACCGGAATGAGGCTGTTAGTGGGAGGTTTGCAGTTCAGCTGAGGGTCAGAGGCCCATTGCAGTCTGCTCATGGGATGGAGGCTGGATGGGAAGAGGCCCTGGGAGGGGTGCGGAGTACTGAGACTGGGATAACTCAGCCCCCAGCTCTACCCCAAATCTGTGCATCAGGTTCTCTTCCCCAGCTAACAGCTGGCCCTATCATTCTGGGACAGGAAAAGCAGGATCAGGTCAGAGGTCGGCCTGCAGTCCTCTTAAGGACCCCTCTCACAGCCAGGTGTTGAGCGCAGGGATTAGCGAGAGCAGAGCTTAGAGCACAACCAATGCTGTGTGCTGTGCGTGTGGTTTCTACCTTCTTAAAAGGACTCGAGGTAGGTGACCAGCATGGTGCACGTCACACCCCCAGGTCTGTTTAACCTCTCCATCATCCAAAATGCACACACTCGCTCCCCCGTCCCAAGTGCCAAGTCATTTCCACATGAAAAAGTGGGCCGCATAAACCTACTGCAGAGCACCCAAGCCGTCTGTCAAAGCCAAATTAGGCAGTCTGACACACGCATTTGTCAACTGCATGGGGAGAAAGTATCACTGATGGGGTGGGCAGGCCTCTAATTCCCAGTTAAGGAATAAACTCACTCCCCTCTAGCCGCTTCTGACTCAGTGACCATATAGGACAGAGAACTGCCCCCTAGGGTTTCTAAGGCTGTAAATCTTTGCGGAAGCAGACTGTCATGTGTTTGTGTTTCTCCTGTGCAGTGGCTGGTAGGTTCAAAGCACTGACCTTACGGTTAGCAGTCGTGCACTTTAACCACGGCAACACGAGCCCCCAGTTGGGAAGAGTGGTACCAAAAACAGAAAGTTAACCAATTCCCATCCACTCTCATCCTCTTCTGTCTGAGAAGCCACTCCCCACACCGCTGAGATCCATTTCAGGCCTGGGGTGGATTTGGAGCACAGCACAAAGCGTTTTCTGAAACCAAAGCATTTTCTGCCTCACTGGAAACTGTCCCAGCTGGCGAAACAAACATATGCACACAAAAACTACTAGAACACTCTGTTCTGGTCCTGTGCTCCCACAAACAAAAACACAAACCCGTGAAGGCTGAGCTGGAAGGTCTGGGTGTCATTTATTGACAGTTTGCACACATTTGCTTTTTCCCGCAGCTGTTTCTGTCAAAGTGCAGGCAAAGAGCCCTTTAGAAGGGGTCTTCACTGAGGGAGCCAGGAACTCAGGACACACACGTCTTTGGCAGGTACATTGGGCCCCAGCAGGATGCAATCCTTCAAGATGGAATTCCGTTGCGTATTTGAGGGGGATCAAGGCGGGATGTGGAGCGGAAGCCTTCCACAGGCCTCACATCTCAGTCCAGGTCTCCTTTCTCACCTATCCAAGTCCATCCCAGCTTTAGGACTCTTGGGTGCATGAAAATCAGGCCCACCCACCTCAACGGGGGCAGTTCCTTCAATCCATGCCCTGTCTGCACACACCTGCTTCCGTTGGCCCCACGGTTAAAGACAATCAGCCTTATGGCAAGAGACAAGCTACTTCCTCTCCGACCCTCCCCGGCACCTCTTCAGCTGGTCTGTGCAGCAACCGCTGGAACACAGGCCTGCTTTCTCAGTTCAGCTGTGTATGCCGTCCTCCTCAAATCTTCTCTAAATAATAGCTTGAGGCTACAAATGTACTCAATCAACAACTTTGCTCCTGGTCAATCACATACGATGTCCTGCCTTTCTTCTGCCAATTGCCAGTGCTCCGGCTCAACTAGTGCCTACAGACGCCAAACAGGGGGCTCAAAGCCAGTCTGTGCAGGCACTTGGCAATTTTGGGTAGTGGGTTTAAGGAGGGTGGATACAAAAGTGGATGGCTGTGGAAAAGAATGAGAGAGCTTCATCTGGTAGAGCAATTAGGGATCGGAAGTGATTTTTATTTTCTTCACTATTTAAGCCAATCATGAAATTTCACAGTGATTTCTGGGGTAGGGGCAGAAGGAAGGCTGTGTCAGGAATCAACAGGGCTGTGGCCAAGTTTGCCTAAGCAGGTATGGGCAGGGCAGCCTCACTGGGGTAGCTGGAGGAGCACCGACTGCCCGTGCGGCAGGTAGGTGATGTTCCGAGAGCGAGAGAGCTGATATGCAATGTCCTCGGCAGCTTCCAGCTTGCGCAGCTCAATCAGGCCATCACCCGCGGTGGCGAGTGAGTTGGCGATCAGTTCAGCTGCTTTGGAATCGCCCTCGGCAGAGATGATGGCTGCCTTCTTCTGCTGCTCAGCCTAAGAGTGGAGAAGGGGAGAGACCCAGATCAAACCTCAGGGCACTGGGTGGTGTCAGGCCACCATGGCCAAGAAAGGACCTGGCCGGGTACTTTCCCTGGTTCCTGAAGAAGTTGAAGGAATTTAGTGGGCTCCACCTCTCTTTCCCTCCTGATGGGGTCAAGCACATCCTCCTCTTTCCTCTAAGGTCCACTTTGGATGACTCCAGGGATACGTTATCCGCTGGCTGCACAAATACCTGTCTTACTTCAAAGACCTCATCAATATTAATAGCAACCTTGTCCAGCCACCTTACTCTGAGCTAGGAGGATCCATGGCCAGGAAAACAGGGGAGAAAGACAGGGGTACTAATCCTTAGGCTTATCTTTCCTTCTGGTCCCTAGTCAGAATGATTTTCATCAAAACCAATAAAGCTACGAGCAATCTGCATTTGTGACACTCATGAGTACTTCCCCTGAGCCGTTCAGAACGAGATCTCCTGGGCCTTCCCTTCCATTCTCAACAGGATGACATCTACCTGCTATGCATGGCTTTGGAAGCAGAGGAGAGAAAAGTACAGTATCCAAACTCCCAGAAATTAACAATTTTGAAACTGCTAGGTTCTGTATTGGGAGCATTGGTAGCGTAGTGCCTAAGGCACCTGACTACTAACCAGAAGGCTGGCGGTTCAAACCCACCGGCCACTCCTTGGAAGGAAGATGGGGCAATCTACTTCCATAGTGATACTGCCTCAGAAACCCAAGGAGGGGTGGCTATGAGTCGAGTCCGACTCAACGGCACATAACAACAACAACAACAGGCTCTGTATCTGTCCCTTCAGCAAGTATTTCTTGAGCACCTAGTATGATTAGGCACAGCTCTAGATTTGTTCTAGGCTCTGGACACATGGCAGGTACGAAGCAGAAACAGTGCTGTCCACGGGGGATCTAGTCTCCAAAATTAAATGTCTAAAAAACAAAAACAAAAACTCACTGTCAATGAGTTGATTCCAACTCACAGTGACCCTATAGGACAGAGAAGACTGTCCAATAGGGATTCCAAAGCTGTAAATCCTTACAGAAGCAGACTGCCTCGCCTTTCTCCTGTGGAACGGCTGGTGAGTTCAAACTGCCAACCTTTTGGTTTGCAGCCGAATGCTTTATAACCATTACGTCACTGTTGTTGTTGTTATGTGCTGTCGAGTCGGCTAGAGTTCCTTAAATGTCAGCCATCCATATATCCCTCTTTTCTCTGATTCTATAGACTAAGAGACACTGGATCACAAATAATGTAAGGGTGGTAGTGAGAGGAAAGCAACAAAAAATCAACATACTTATCCAAAGGCCAGGAAGACCAGCTGCCATGCAAATGCATTGTGCCCATCACACTATCTGATACATCTGGATGGATTTAATGTTTAAAAAAAAAAAATCTAGTGATGATAGCACATCTGGCCAACATTTGATCCTTTTTGCTGCCAGCTTTCACTATGTAACCTGGTTAAAAATGACTTCCCAGTGAAGCTTAAAATACTCCAGGAGAAACATTTTTACTTGTAGGAGAATGTTTTTGATCTTAGGGAAAAAACGACCCTTCAGTGGTTTAGGAACATAACTTCACATACCCCTGACTAGCCCCTAAAGACTCTGGAACCAATTGTAGGAGTACAGTCCCTTCAAATTCCCTTCCGATTATCCCGGAAGAAGAGATGACAGGTGATGAATGTCCAGGCCACCCAGCAAGCGGGGAAGCTGAGCACAGGAGAAAGGGAAAGAGGCTCCTGCCGTCTGGTGGAACACTCACCTTTTCCACCACAAATCTGGCCCTCTCTGCTTCCTGCTGAGCCACCTGTTTGGCTTCTACTGCTTCTGTGAACTCCTTCCCAAAGGTCAGATGCGTCTAAGGGGAGAGAGTGAGCCCAAGATGAGGCAGCGTAATTGCTTAGACAGCACTGCTGGGGCCTCTGTGGCCGCTGGAAGAGGCCAGGGATGGCTCGAGCAGCTGGAGGCCCCCACAGGTCCAGAACGCCCCTGCACAGCCTTGTCCAAAGTGAATTCACACCCCAGAATCTTTGGCTGCCCACACTGCTCCTGTACATCATTCTGTCACCCTCACTGTGGCAATGTGAAGAAGAAAAGGGCCAGCTGGGGCTATGGCTTGGGCCCACAGGCACTAGAGGGTCTACTCAGCAGGCCACCTCCCTCAGGAGCAGACCTGGCGGCTCTAGGACCCCCCCAACTGACTTGTGCTCCTCCAAGGTCCTTTGATTCCCTACCCAAAAAGCCCCAAAGGCAGCCAGATGGGAAACAGAGTCCCTTGGAGTGGGGGATGCAGCTGGTTCTCAGAGATTCCAGAGCCTAAGGCTTTCTGCTTATGGATTAACCAGTCCACTCCTTTCTCACAGCACCTCCACCACCAAACAGAAGAGGAAGAGGGAGATGGAGGAACTCAAATCATGCTATTCTCTGGGTGATTCTGGGAAAGGGTTTAAGACAACAAGGAGGCAGGTAAAGCCATTGGTCAGGGTGACTGTTTCAAACCCCAATTATCCATAAATTTCTTTTCTCTAATACCATGAATAACTGAAGACTTGCCTGAGGTGACTGTCTGGAACAATAGTGCAAACAACAGGGAAAGATCTCAGAACTCGTACTGCCTACTCTACACTGATTTACTTACCTAACCAGCTTTTTATTAAAAAGGAAAAAAAATCAAAGGGAAGAAAAGCATTGGTTTTCCTATCAAGTTCCTTTTTGTTTCATTCCTGCTCTACCTCCCAACCCCTGCTTTTTTAAATACAAGCAGCCCCAAACCTCTCCTGAAGGCTAAATTCTGGTCCCACTTTCTCCCAGGATTTTTAACACTCCTCTTGTACAGCAGCTGTTCCCCTTTGCCTGCTCCATTTCTGGACTCTAGCTCAAAGTTTGGGGAAGAAAATGCAATCCTGAGAAATGAAAAATGAAATGTGTAATTAAAGAGTAAAGTTTATTTTCAAAAGGGCTAGCCGGGGGCAGCAAATTCTCCATGGAATCTAATTTTCTTCTCACACCTCTTAGATATGGTTTCTTGTGGTCAGCCCACATTTCCCCAGAATGGAGTATGTGGTTACAGTCTAGAAAAACGCCAGGCTGCTTCTTTGGTTTTACTTAGCATTTTCTCACAGCCAAGTGCTCAGGTTAACAGTACTGGGGAAGAGCCCGAGGAACTGCTCTCTTCAGAGCCAAAGGGCTGCAGCCTGGCATCTTGCCAGCAGAGGGAGCCCACAAGCCCTCCCACTTTCGCCAATTGATGCAAGGTGGTGCCCTGTGGGTTGGGACTGGGTGTTGCGGAGTGACTGTTTAAACAGCTGCACAGATGCTGAGGGGGAAATGGTGCCTTTCCCTAGCGACGCACATGGAGAACGGAACAGGAAACAATCTACCTCCCTGCCCGAACAAATCACTCCAAATGATTTTTCCCAGAGAATCTAGAAACACGACCCTTTCCTTTCACCCTCCTCGATCTGAAATGCTATCCCGCCTGTATTGCTTTCTGTGTGAGTTACGACATTTGATGTCATATAAATACACAGACTATAATGTCCCATGAGGACAGCTTACAGCTCAGAGGCGCCCCTTGAGCCCCACACCAGGCTTTGGGGAACAGAGCCGCTCACTTACACTCTATCACCTTTCACTGGGGTTCCCAGAACTCCACTCAGCTCCAGACCAGAAGTGTTAGAAAATTCCCAGGAGTGAAGGAGGAGGTCTGAGCTAGGGGGAAAAAAGACAACCCGACCTATTTTCTAGTTTCTACTAGGCAGTTTCTTCCTGTGCCAAACAGGGTTAATAGCGCATCATTTTCTGGGGCGTTTTGGGCAACAGTCACATTGTTGAAAAGGTGAAATAAGCAATGGCTTGAGACGATTTGGGTAAGGCCAGGGGTCATAAGGAAAATGTGTGTGGCAGAGCATAGGTAACAGAACCCTAAACGGAAAACAAACCCAAGGAGGCAGTCTCATGTTTTCAAGTCTCACATCCTGGAAGGTAGGAGACAGGACTTAATACTGTCTACCCAGAAACGGAGCCAGGCACTTCCACGAGCACTACCCTGTTACCCTGAGGCTCCCTGCGGTTCTTACCAAGGATACGTCATCCAGAATGAGCCCAAAGGTGGCTGCTCGCTCCGTGAGGTCATCGCTCACCTGTCTGGAGACCAGCTCTCTCTGGGTGATTAGTTCTCCAGCATCAAAGCGAGCCTGGTATCAAAGGACGGGCGGAGGAGCAGGACAGGACAATGAGACAGGAAAGGAACGACCAACCACACAGCTGCATCCCAAACAAGCCACTTGCCAGCTCTTCCTGCCCCTCAGCGACATCTCAGGGCTGGAGGCGGAGGGGCCCCGTGCACTCACCACCACTGACTTGAGAATCTCCGTCGTGATGGACGGCAGCACACGCTCATCATAGTCCTCTCCGATGCTGGTATAGATGCGTGGCAGCTGGCTAGCAACAGGCCGGAAGAGGATGCGCAGTGTGATGTTGACATTCTGTAAATCTGGGGAAGGGGACAAGCACTACAGTCAAAAATAAAAACCACAGTGGGGAAACAATATGCTCTCTTTTGCTCCAAATTCGCCCTTTTAAGTATTTGTAAGTCAATGTGCTGATTCTAAGAACCAGAGGGCAAGGAGCAGGCATGTGTGGTTTCCTTGGTGGAGAACCCAACAGAACATCACAGAATTAGGAACTTCTTAAAGGTTTCCGGTGACAATGGCTTTTTCAGTATGTCCGGAACTCCCTCTGATAAAAGCAATTACGTGTCCAACAGGTCCCATGGGATGTGTGGAACACTGAACATCTTAAGAAACAGGGCAATGCCAGGGTGAGGTCTTTCTAGGGCCTGATGAACGAGGCTGAAATCAGGAGTGTGCCTTGGATCTGTGCAAACTGCACTGCACCAGCAGCCCAAAGACCTAGCTGTCTCACTCTGCTATTTACTAATTATGTAGACTTGCTAAGCCAATCTGGGCTCATTCCCTTGTCTGTGAGGAGGGGGACGGTTCCATCTGCCTTCCAGTCTTGGCAGGAATGTTGGGGGAAACGGAAGGAGAGGACCACTATAAAAGCACGCTGTCAACTGTGTAACAGATGTAAGAGGTTATCACTCATCTGCAGACAGCTTCCCATTACTTGGCCCAGTACTGGCCCCAGGGAGGGAAATTATGCCTTTCACCCGACAATGCAGACCTGCTCAGAGCTGAAGTGTCACCACAGCTTGCTTGTGGTCATAAGCAATATGGTTCAGGTGCTGTGACAGAGTCCGGAACCAGGCACCAGGTAAGGTGGGGAAAGCCTATCAATACAGACAGGTCCCTGATCTCTGATAGACACACAACGTACCCTTAGAACAATTACAAAACAGAACAGAAAGAAATCCAAGAGTGGCAAGTTTCGAGCTAGGTTTTTAAGTTCAAATTGTATGTTTCTCAATTACTTCCACCTCACCTTTTATTTTCTCTCTTGGAACAGGCAAGCCAGACCCTTAGCTTTGCCAGCTCCCTGGCCAGGAGCTATAGAATAGATTGGGCGACAGCAACATACCCTCCCCCTCTTCTCTGCCTGACACACTTCTCACTCCTTAAGACCGAGCTCAAACATTAGTTCCTTGCAGGAGCCTTCCCCAGCCACCCGTGGGAGTTAGTCACTCTCTTCTGTGTTCCTACCACACTCTGTACGACCTTGACCCCAGTACTCATCACACTCTACTGTAACTGCTTGTTCACATGCTCATCTCCCCAGCTAGACTGAGCTCCCCAGTCATCTCTGAGCCACTCCCCGCTCTCCAACCAGCACAAGGCGATGCACATCATAGTAAACAAATGTCTGCTGAGGAATGGCACTGAAGTCCTTGAGTATTATCAAAACAAACCAACACCCGCATGCCCCTCTCCTCTTTATGTGCAGAAATGCCACTGCTGAACCAGACCTGGAGGGTGGGGGAGAACACTAACGGCAAACGGAAATCTAGTGGAGTGTCAGGGACACCGGGAGACTATTCTCAGGGATGTGGCCTCAGGCTGGGAGATAATGTGAGGTCAGCACCGTTGGAGAAAGAGGTCTTGGAAAGGAAGGCAAAGGGTAAAGTGAGCTACTAAGACCAACAAAACAGCTAGAGATTGGTTTACGCAGCTTCTCTGGGGAACAAGAAGTGATGGGAAGGGTCACTGAGGGGGCAAAATACACATTTAAATTTCTTTAATTAGGTCACTATCTGTGTATTCTCTAAATGTGGTAAGTTATCTGTGTGTGCACCCTAAGTAAATATGTCATTTTTTTCTGTGAATCCACATGAGACACCTCAGGGGCAAATGTGCTAGAAGTTTTATTTTGTGAAGTCTGACCTCCCCTTCTTCTGGATCCTGGAGCCCAACAGATGCTCCTGGACCTGACAGACCCTTCTACATTCCCTCCTTCACCTGACTCACAGGTAAAGCAAGACTCACCTTTGCTACCAGTGATTACTGGCACATTACGTGGTCGAGAGCGGCAGTCAAAGATAATTGGCTTTTGTACCCAAGGGATGAGAAAGTGAGTCCCTTCCCCTACCACAATGTCCTGGACTCCACGGAACCGGTCAAAGATGACAGCTCTGTGTCCTGCGTCCACTAGGAAGGAGAAGGATAATGAAGGTCAGAAAAGCTCCCTCACCCTTTAACCAAGAGCATCATGTCTCTGAAAGATCCCTGGTGCTTTCTATTCATTTATTAAGTCTTCCCTCTACTGCTCTGTCTTCCTGCACTTCTGGTCTCCAAAGGCCTCTAAGTAGCGACAAAACTAAGTAATCACCTCCTCTCCCACGTGTCTCCCCAAGGGCTTTGGTAACAAGATCTGCTCCTGAGTCTTTTCTCCTTGAAATAACTGATTGCTGATTTTCTGATTAACCATCCCCTTCCCAAATCACCCCCCAATATTACTTCAAAAACTCATGGAGGTCTTTACTGTTACCATGCTCAATCCTAGCTCCAGTTTGGTGGTGTAGTCCCTAAGGCATTTGACTGCTAACCAGAAGGCTGGTGGTTCAAACCTACCAGCCACTCCTCAGAAGGAAGATTGGGTAATCTACTTCCATAGAGATACCGCCTTGGAAACTCCAGGAGGGGTCGCTGTGAGTAGGACTGACTCGATGGCATGAGTTTGGTTTGTTTTTTTGCCCCAGAAGCAGCACCCTCACTATGGGAATCCTACAGTTTAGAAGGTCCTACTCTTCTTAATAGCTGTTTCTCTAAGGGGTTATAGAACTGTCTTGCTGATTTAGAAAGAAATTCAGTGATGGGGATTACTGTTCAGTGCAGGTATGGCCAAAAGGGTTACAGCATGATGATGTGCCATATAAACCAAGCAAGCTTTTCTGGTTAGCTGCCTTCTGTTCCTGCCTCTGGACTTTCTAGCCGGTTGCCCACATCTCCACTCTGAAGGTAATCGTCCTCTCGTCATACACACAAAGCAGGTCAGACTGCTCCTGCTTTCCAGTGGTCAAAGCTATAGAATGAATGTCCAAGTTGGAAAGAGTCGTAGAGATAAACTAGTTCACTCTCATTCCTTGACCAATGAAGACATTGAGACCTAGAGAGGGGAAGTCACTTGCCTAAGGCCACAATGTAAAGTGAAAGACAAGGCAATCAAGGCATTCTGAAGGTATTTCTTCTGGAACTACCCCTGCAGAGCAGAAGCTCCTGTTCAGGACAAGATCACCCAAAAAGATCTAAAGCAGTTATCTCCATCTCAGCTAGCAGTGAAATCCTGACACTGCTGAAGCATAGTGGGTGGTGTTGCCTCACTTCAAATTAAAGAGAGCAAGAGACATCCAGCCAACAACTGGGCTGGGCAGCTCTTTTTGAATCAAGGCTCTCAGAAGAACCTATGGCCAAAAGAACCTGAGGCTCTGACAACAATGCAAAATACAGGGTGTGGAATGGCAGTAGGTGAGCCTTCTTGTCACAAACACAGCTCCCATCACAAGTGTCCCATGGGCTACAGTGCCTCACCATTATACAAGGCAGAGTTCACCACGCCTCCTGCGATGGCTAAAGCCAGGCCAAACTTGCCGATGGACTCAAACACCTTGGCAGCCATGTTTTCTTCTGTTGGATCTTGCCTTTTAGCCCACTCTCACCTAAAGAGGTAAAAACAAAATAATGTCACCCCCAGTCCCCAGAGAAAAGCCCTTAGACACAACACTCACTTCTCAAACTGGTTATTTTCCCACTCCTGAGAGATCTAAATCTCCCACTGAGGGACAGCCAAGAAATGGCAATCTATAGCTTAGAAAAATGCAGTATCAATTCCTCTTCTCCCCTCCGTAGCAACCACTTAAAGAAAGGGTTCTGAGGTAGTTGGCTCAATAATGGGAACATGCAGTTAATAAGACCAACACATGAGCCTGATACCAAGAACTTTTAGCTGCATGCTAAACAACCCTCTTATTCCCTGGACAAGTAGGCCCCGAGAGAGAGGCTGTGAGGCTGGTTCTGTGAAACCAAGTCCAGTTTGGAAAAATAACTCAAAACAATGTGGTACACAGTGATTCCAACAAGTGACAGCTAACAGTTCTATCAGGCAGCGTTCTGTGGGAATATATTTCTCACAACTCTATGAAGTAGATGACTATAGGCGTGAAAACTGAGGCACACAGAAACATTACGTAAGAAGCCTAAGATCACACCGCTATTAAGTGGTGCTTTTGAGCAGGGGGTATAATTCTAGAACGCACCACACTGCTTCTCAACATCAAGTACTGAGAACGCCGTTATTATGAAAGCGGGAGCTGGATGACGTTCTTGAACCAAGATAACAACAACCGATGTGGGCACAAAGATTCTAAGTAATTCTCGAAGCCAAGGAGCGCTCTAGATGTGGTGGGAGGGTGGAGCTGAGGCAGAGTGGGCGGGACCACAGCTGCTCTAACTGTAAACCTACTCCAGGGTTTAACTTTTTAGTTTTCTTCTTTAATGCCCACCCCAACATCTTCGTTCCCCTCAGTCTCAAAACTTCCCTCTTCCCTCCTAGACTGTTCAGACTAATTCGCGTTCTTTCTGTGCATTTCAATCGTCCTTTCCCCAGACCAAGTCTTCCGGTCCTTACCCTTCAACGTTTTCTTTCTTTGGTTCTTTTAGAGTTTTCTTTTTCTTTTCAGCGTTTGCAGTTCTAATAACTTCTGGATGACTCCTCACCCTACCCCAATACAGACTTCCCTCACTTTATGCAACCCCTGGAGCGTCCCAGACCCACCCCCCTTCCCTTCCCCTGCGAAGAGGACCTATGCACGCACCCTGCTCGCCCAAAGTGCATATGGGAAGGAAGGGGAATGTGCATAGACGCCCAGACACGGACCTTAGCCACCTTCCACCATTCTCACCTGTTTTCACTCTGACCTCCACATGAATTCCACAGACACACACACTGCGCATGCGCCCGGCAGCTCCTCCTCTTCCTCGTCCTTCTTTCAATATTCTTGCCTCCGATTGGTAGAGAGGAGCGCTGTGAATTCTGGGAAGGGTAGTTTTCAGTTTTGCCCTGGTTCCTAGGTTCTTCGGAGGTGGACTACGATTCCCAAAAAGTCATGCAGTGCATGGCCTGCGCAGAAAGGCTTTTCCTCTTTGGCGGAAACCTCAGAGAGACTACCGCAGAGCCTTTTGGGAGTTGTAGGTCTTGGGGGATAAATGCACGTGCCTGTCCTAAACCGATGTTAGACAGTATGTCGCAAGAAAATAAGCCCTAGAGACCTAGGGTGGAAGGGCTGCGTCAGCGGCTAGTGACTGGGTTGGGCATGGCAAGGAAGAGTCCATGGTTAATGAAAGAAGAGGGGCGGTACCTTGGTAAAACAGCGGGTTTTGGGGAGACCTTGAGGGAACCTGTGAGAGATACCGTCTTCTTTTTGAAGCCGTGTCAGGTTTCAGAATTTCAGAATTGTGGATATTGACTGTCAGAACCAGAGAGAATCTTAGAAACGAACAGGAATAGAAAACCGAGGCCCAAAGAGGGGAAGAGATTCAAGATAATGCACCGAGTTAGCAAAGGCTCTCAGCTTAGAATCTGGGTCCCCTGGACACAATTTTTTAAAAAATATTTTATTTGGCTAAGTTGCAAGAAAAGCACAAAGAATGTATGTGTTCCCTTTAATCACATTCACCAATTGTTAACATTTTGCTCCATTTGCTTTATCATTTCTTCTGTCTGTATTTGTCTTTTTTTTTTTTTTAAACCTTGGACTATCTTGGAGTGAATTGAATATGTCATAATCCTTTACCTCTAGATAAGTGTGGATTTTTTAAGAATAAGAGCAACACTTAACACGTGTTCTTACACGATTTGGGTAAATTTCATATTGATAAATTCCTTGAGCTAAGCTACTGTGTGCATTCCAATTTTGTCAAATGACTGAACAGTGAACTCTATAGCATTCTCCCTCCCCACTCCCCAATACCGGATGCAGCCTAAGATCAATTACTGCATTTAGTTTTCATATCTCTTTGTTGTTGTTGTTGTTGTTATTTGCCATTGAGTCAGCCCTGACTCATAGCGACCCCTCCTTGGGTTTCCAAGGCAGTATCTTTAGTGTCCTTTAATGCAGAAAAATTTCTCAGCCTTCCTTTGTCTTTATTACATTTCAGGACATTTTAAAAAATAGAATGTTTCTGATTTTGGGTTTATCTGATTATTCCTCATGATTGTTGTTGTTGTTGTTTGGTGCCACAGAGTCGTTTCTGACTCATAGCAACCCCATGCACAGCAGAGCAAAACATGCCAGATCTTGAGCCAGCTCCATGATCTTTGCTATACTTGAGCCCATTGTCACAGCCACTGTGTCAATCCATCTCGTCAAAGGCCTTCCCCTCTTTTGTCGACCCTCCATCTTACCAAGCATGACATCCTTCCCCAGGGAATGGTCCCTCCTGAAAATATGACCAAAGTAGGTGAGATGAAGTCTGGCCATTCTCGCTTCCAAGGAGCATCTCTGCTGCACTTCCTCCAGGACAGATCTGTTCTTTTAGCAGTCCATGGTACTTTCAGCATTCTTCGCCAGCACCACAACTCAAAAGCATCAACTCTTCTTTGGTGTTCCTTATTCATTGTCCAGCTCTCACATGCATACGAGGCGATTGGAAATATGATGGCTTGTGTCAGGCGCACCTTAGTCGTCAAGGAGATATCCTTGCTCCTCAGCATTTGAAAGAGTTCCTTCACAGCCGACCTGCCCAGTGCTACACGTCGTCTAATGGCCTGAGTGCTGCTTCCATTGGTTTCAATTGTAGAGCCAAGCAACGTGAATTCTTTGACAACTTCAATCTTTTCTCCGTTTATTGTGATGCTGCTTATTGGTCCAGTTGTGAGGATTTTTGTTTTCTTTATATTGAGATGTAATCCATACTGCAGACTGTGTTCTTCAGTCTTCATCAGTAAGTGCCTCAAGTCATCCTCACTTTCAGCAAGCAAAGTTGTATCATCATATCATCAGCATATCTCAGGTTGTTAATGATTCTTCCTCCAATCCTGATGCCACGTTTTTCTTCATATAGTCCAGCTTCTCGGATTATTTGCTCAGCATATAGATTGAATAAGTATGGGGAAAGGATACAACCCTGACACACTCCCTTCTTGATTTTAAACCACGTGGTGTCCCCTTGTTCCTTCCTCATGATTAGATATAGATTTTCTTTGCCTTGCTGGGATATGGCAAGGTCTATGGAAGCTAGCCATTCTGCTACCTTTATTATTCTATTTTCAGTAGCTATAATCATGCTTGGAACGTAGTAGGCACTCAAGAAATATTTGTTGAATGAATGAATGAAAAAAGGCATCGAAGGGAGAGTTCTAGTTAGGCCAGGAAACACAAGGCAGGACGCTCTCGAGATGCGGAGGATAAAGGACATGAAAGCTGTGGGAGGTGTTTGGGAGCAATTTAATTGTGATGAGGCAGAGATGAGGGATGGCATATCAGCTTTAGGAGTGGGTCCACTTTGTTGCTGCATAGAGTGTATTCCCCTCGAACCCTCTTCCCAATGGACATGGAGGTTGGCAATAAGAACAAATATATCTTGAATACTTAACCGTGTGCCAGTTGTTTCGTAAATACATAATCTATTTTCAACCCTATTGTCCTACTTCTATCCACCAGCCACTCCTTGGAAGGAAGATGGGGCAATCTACTTCCGTAGTGTTACTGCCTCGGAAACCCAAGGAGGGGTTGCTATGAGTTGGGTCCGACTCGAAGGCACATAACAACAACAACATTGTGGACATAGAAGGAGCTCTGGTCGTGTAGTGGTTAAGGCATTTGGCTGCTAATCCAAAGGTCAATGGTTCGAACCCACCAGCTGCTCCATGGAAGAAAGATGAGGCAGTCTGCTTCCATAAAGATTTACAGCCTTGGAAACCCAGTGGGGGGTGTCTGTGAGTCAGAATCAACTCAGTGGCAGTGAGTTTGGCTTTTGGATTGTAGACATGAAGAAATGGAGATTCAGAGAAATCAAGTGCGTTGGTTGCAGTCATGCAGCTAATAAATCATAGATATGTCTGATCCTAGCCTGTGCTTTTCCTAACTACTAGCTCTGGGAAGGGATAATTTTTAAATAATATCCAAACAAAGGTTGATTAATGCCAATATGGGAGGGGTAATAACTAAAGCAAACAGTTATAGAATATCTCTTTTTCTTCCTTCATTTAATACACATATATTAGAGACTTACCATACCCCAACCATCATGCTAGAAAGTGAGGATACAATAATGAACAAAAAAAGAAGACCCCCTACCCTCATGAAGTCTGTATTCTGTGGTGCTATACGTTGTCTGGTTTCTTGACTGCTGCTTCCATGCGTGTTGATTGTGGATCCAAGTAAAATGAGATCCCTGACGACTTCAATCTTTTCTCCATTTATTGTGATGTTGCTTAATCGCTCCAGTTTTGAGAATTTTTGTTTTCTTTATGTTAAGGTGTAATCCATACTGGAGGCTACAGTCTTTGACCTTCATCAGTAAGTGCTTCAAGTCATCTTCACTTTCAGCAAGCAAGGTTGTGTCATCTGCATATCGCAGGTTGTTAATGAGTCTTCCTCAAATCCTGATGCCTTGTTCTTCTTCATATAGTCCAGCTTCTTGGATTATTTGAGGTTACAAAGGTGAAATAAGCAAGTACCAGACATTGTAGGCTTTGCTAAAGAGTTTTATTTCAAGTGCAATGAGAAATCCCTTAAAGTTTTTAACCAGGAGGGTGGATAATTTCTCTGTGGGGAAACCAACCAGCCCAAGAAAACCCTATAGTCCCTGGCTGTTGGAAATTCCCAATAAAAGAACACAAGCAGGTCACCCTAGTGCAATGGCTCTTAAATTTGTTGATCTGAGGGCCCCTTTATATCCTTAAAAGTTATTAAGAACTGTAAAGAGCTTTTTTTTTTTTTTATATATATTTGGCCATATATATTCAAAATTGAAACAGGAAAAATTTAAAAAATATTTATTGATCAACTCACTTAAAAATATCAATAATAAATCCATGAGGTATTAACATATTTTTATGAAAAATATGATTTCCAAAACAAAACTATTTGGTGGGAAGAGTGGCACTGCTGTACATTTTTGCAAATCTCTGATTTTCCAGTCAATCTGTTGGGTTATCATGAGCCACATAGCCTCTGGAAAACTCTACTGGACTCTCATGGATGAATGAGAATGAAGAGCATGAATTATGGTTAAGTATTATCATGAAATAATTTTGATTGCAGGTACTCCCTGAAAGGGTCTCAAGGGTGTCCTGGTCCATAGCTGGAGAACTGCTGCCTTAGGATGAAGCTCACCACTGGACAAGCCCCACTCATGCCTACGAAGCTTCCTTCAGCTTTCCAGTGCTTGCATGAGTTGGAATATTGGTTAAAGTCTAAGCTGCTGTATCAAAGAGACCCTGAAATACAGTGGCTTTAAAAATAGAAGCGAATTTCTCTTGCTCCACACGTCTTTCAAACACCCAGATTCCTTTCATCTTGCTGCTTTATTGTCCCCTGAAGGATTCTCTTCATCTACCCATGGTCGTTGGCCCATCTGTGCTCCAGTTTGCAGGAAGGGGGAAACAATAAACACAAGACAACGATTTTGTTTTAAGCAAATGAGAGAGAAGCAGCACATATGCTTTCCACTTCATTCTATTGATGAAAAGTTGCTTACGGGACCACACCCTCGTCACAAAGGAGGCTAGGAAATGTAATCTCTAGCTGGGAAGCCAAGTTCCCAGGAAGAAAGGATTTGGGCCCTAACCAGCTGTGCGCAGTGCCTCCCTCTCAAAGATGAACAATCACACAAGTGATATAAGTCCTTCTGAGAAAAGCCATAACATAAAAGAGGAAAAGAAAATTAAGCAAACAAAAATAAAACAAAACCAACAAATAAATACACAAAACACTTGGCAGAAT